AAAAATGAAAGTAATTAATATGCAATGTAAAATAATTATATCGGTGAAAAACAGAAAAAAAAGTAAATATAAATCTCAAATGATATATGCAGGGTGTGCTGGCAGGCAGCAACCATTTACAATTTTTATTTTCAATATATTAATCCATTTGTTAACTAACTTATAAATTGAAATTCTATTTTATCTTTTTGATTGTTCATATAAACAGTAATTGATATGAAACCAATGTAAAGAGTAAGGAAGAAAATATAATAATAAACAATTAATTGTGGTTATAAATTTACTGATATATTTTTAAGCTATAAATGTTTAAAAACTTAAATTACAGAAAGGTGGAGAAAAATAATTGAAATTCGAGAAATCAAAGAAATCAATGTTTATGTTGGCTTAAACGTATGTAATTGTAAGAAGTTTAAGGCTTGGTAGCTTGCAAATTCGGATTTTAATGGAAAGCTTAAAGTTCAGCAACAATAACTCTGTATTGAACTGAACTAGAGCTGAACTAGAACTGGATTAGAACTAGAACTGAACTAGAACTGAACTAGAACTGAACTAGAACTGAACTACGGAACTAGAACTGAACTAGAACTGAACTAGAACTGAACTAGAACTGAACTAGAACTGAACTAGAACTGAACTAGAACTGAACTAGAACTGAACTAGAACTGAACTAGAACTGAACTAGAACTGAACTAGAACTGAACTAGAACTGAACTAGAACTGAACTAGAACTGAACTAGAACTGAACTAGAACTGAACTAGAACTGAACTAGAACTGAACTAGAACTGAACTAGAACTGAACTAGAACTGAACTAGAACTGAACTAGAACTGAACTAGAACTGAACTAGAACTGAACTAGAACTGAACTAGAACTGAACTAGAACTGAACTAGAACTGAACTAGAACTGAACTAGAACTGAACTAGAACTGAACTAAACTGAACTAGAACTGAACTAGAACTAACTAGAACTGAACTAGAACTGAACTAGAACTGAACTAGAACTGAACTAGAACTGAACTAGAACTGAACTAGAACTGAACTAGAACTGAACTAGAACTGAACTAGAACTGAACTAGAACTGAACTAGAACTGAACTAGAACTGAACTAGAACTGAACTAGAACTGAACTAGAACTGAACTAGAACTGAACTAGAAACTGAACTAGAACTGAACTAGAACTGAACTAGAACTGAACTAGAACTGAACTAGAACTGAACTAGAACTGAACTAGAACTGAACTAGAACTGAACTGAACTGAACTAGAACTGAACTAGAACTGAACTAGAACTGAACTAGAACTGAACTAGAACTGAACTAGAACTGAACTAGAACTGAACTAGAACTGAACTAGAACTGAACTAGAACTGAACTAGACTGAACTAGAACTGAACTAGAACTGAACTAGAACTGAACTAGAACTGAACTAGAACTGAACTAGAACTGAACTAGAACTGAACTAGAACTGAACTAGAACTGAACTAGAACTGAACTAGAACTGAACTAGAACTGAACTAGAACTGAACTAGAACTAGAACTAGAAACTAGAACTAGAACTAGAACTGAACTAGAACTGAACTAGAACTGAACTAGAACAGAACTAGAACTGAACTAGAACTGAACTAGAACTAGAACAGAACTAGAACTGAACTAGAACTGAACTAGAACTGAACTAGAACTGAACTAGAACTGAACTAGAACTGAACTAGAACTGAACTAGAAATGAACTAGAACAGAACTAGAACAGAACTAGAACAGAACTAGAACATGAACTAGAACTGAACTAGAACTGAAATAGAACTTAACTAGAACTGAACTAGAACTGAACTAGAACTGAACTAGAACTGAACTAGAACTGAACTAGAACTGAACTAGAACTGAACTAGAACTGAACTAGAACTGAACTAGAACTGAACTAGAACTGAACTAGAACTGAACTAGAACTGAACTAGAACTGAACTAGAACTGAACTAGAACTGAACTAGAACTGAACTAGAACTGAACTAGAACTGAACTAGAACTGAACTAGAACTGAACTAGAACTGAACTAGAACTGAACTAGAACTGAACTAGAACTGAACTAGAACTGAACTAGAACTGAACTAGAACTGAAATAGAACTGAACTAGAACTGAACTAGAACTGAACTAGAACTGAACTAGAACTAGAACTGAACTAGAACAGAACTAGAACAGAACTAGAACAGAACTAGAACAGAACTAGAACAGAACTAGAACAGAACTAGAAGAGAACAGAACTAGAACAGAACTAGAACAGAACTAGAACAGAACTGAACTAGAACTGAACTAGAACTGAACTAGAACTGAACTAGAACTGAACTAGAACTGAACTAGAACTGAACTAGAACTGAACTAGAACTGAACTAGAACTGAACTAGAACTGAACTAGAACTGAACTAGAACTGAACTAGAACTGAACTAGAACTGAACTAGAACTGAACTAGAACTGAACTAGAACTGAACTAGAACTGAACTAGAACTGAACTAGAACTGAACTGGAACAGAACTAGAACAGAACTAGAACTTAACTAGAACTTAATTAGAACTAACCCACATCTATCATTGTTTGCACTTAAAATGAATACCCCTACTATTCCGTATCCACCTAACTATGTATTTAACACATACTTGCACTTGGCATATATTAACTTTATAATTATTTAATTTAACGCTCATATTTATTACAATTTTAATAATAATTTATGCAAAAAAAAATGATAATTTTATACACAACATTTATTTTATTTAAAACAAATAAAGACAACAACAAAAATTGCATACAAATCTACTTAAAGGAGACATTGAAAAAAGTCTGTCTATAAAGCTTACAAAAACATTGAATAGCAAGACGTCCAACAGACTGTCGGAATGTTTGTCTGTCGTTTATTAAACGAGTACGGACGGCTGTGGCAGGTCTGGTAAGTTGGTGGGTTTATTGTTTGTTTGTCTCAAACCACTCGACGTTTTAAATGTGGAAAAAAATGAAAGTAATTAATATGCAATGTAAAATAATTATATCGGTGAAAAACAGAAAAAAAAGTAAATATAAATCTCAAATGATATATGCAGGGTGTGCTGGCAGGCAGCAACCATTTACAATTTTTATTTTCAATATATTAATCCATTTGTTAACTAACTTATAAATTGAAATTCTATTTTATCTTTTTGATTGTTCATATAAACAGTAATTGATATGAAACCAATGTAAAGAGTAAGGAAGAAAATATAATAATAAACAATTAATTGTGGTTATAAATTTACTGATATATTTTAAGCTATAAAATGTTTTAAAATTTAAATTACAGAAAAGTGGACAAAAATAATTGAAATTCGAGAAATCAAAGAAATCTATGTTTATGTTGGCTTTAAAACGTATGTAATTGTATGAACTTTAAAGCTTGGTAGCTTGCAAATTCCGATTTTAATGAAAGCTTAAAAGTTTCTGCAACAATAACTCTGTATTGCACTGAACTAGAACTGAACTAGAACTGAACTAGAACTGAACTAGAACTGAACTAGAACTGAACTAGAACTGAACTAGAACTGAACTAGAACTGAACTAGAACTGAACTAGAACTGAACTAGAACTGAACTAGAACTGAACTAGAACTGAATACTAGAACTGAACTAGAACTGAACTAGAACTGAACTAGAACTGAACTAGAACTGAACTAGAAACTGAACTAGAACTGAACTAGAACTGAACTAGAACTGAACTAGAACTGAACTAGAACTGAACTGAACTAGAACTGAACTAGAACTGAACTAGAACTGAACTAGAACTGAACTAGAACTGAACTAGAACTGAACTAGAACTGAACTAGAACTGAACTAGAACTGAACTAGAACTGAACTAGAACTGAACTAGAACTGAACTAGAACTGAACTAGAACTGAACTAGAACTGAACTAGAACTGAACTAGAACTGAACTAGAACTGAACTAGAACTGAACTAGAACTGAACTAGAACTGAACTAGAACTGAACTAGAACTGAACTAGAACTGAACTAGAACTGAACTAGAACTGAACTAGAACTGAACTAGAACTGAACTAGAACTGAACTAGAACTGAACTAGAACTGAACTAGAACTGAACTAGAACTGAACTAGAACTGAACTAGAACTGAACTAGAACTGAACTAGAACTGAACTAGAACTGAACTAGAACTGAACTAGAACTGAACTAGAACTGAACTAGAACTGAACTAGAACTGAACTAGAACTGAACTAGAACTGAACTAGAACTGAACTAGAACTGAACTAGAACTGAACTAGAACTGAACTAGAACTGAACTAGAACTAGAACTGAACTAGAACTGAACTAGAACTGAACTAGAACTGAACTAGAACTGAACTAGAACTGAACTAGAACTAGAACTAGAACTGAACTAGAACTAGAACTGAACTACAACTAAACTAGAACTGAACTAGAAATGAACTAGAACTGAACTAGAACTAGAACTGAACTAGAACTGAACTAGAATTGAACTAGAGCTGAACTAGAACTAGAACTGAACAAGAACTGAACTAGAACTGAAAAAGAACTGAACTAGAAAGCTAGATTTGATCAGACACCCTACATGTAGTTGTGGTAAAAAGTCAAGTTAATTTTCTTATAAAACATTTTCGAAAAGCTTTTATTCAAGAAGTTTCTGTTACTCACCTTAAATTTGGAACAGCTGCTGCTGCGGCGGCTGCCTGTAATGGCGGTGGCACATTATAGGGGAAGGGTAGCTTAGCAGCTACAGCAGGATTTTCAAATAGCATATTCGTAAAAATTGTGCTGAATTTTCTATTAAATACGAAACGAAGCTGTTATTTTTCAAAACACTTTTTTTCTAAAAACACTTTTTTTCTGATTTAATTACACTTTAATTTTTTATATTTTTTTTGTTAAATTTTCATAAATTTATATAATTATTTTGTAATAAAACTTGAGATTTTATTTTTATTTATTTTACTTTTTAAAAACACTTGAAATTTTTCTTTCGAAATTTATGTATTTTCCACTCGTTTTACAGGGATTTTATTTGTATTATTTTTCTCTAAAGATAAAAATAACAACAAATACAGATTAATGACAATATTGAGGTTTAAAAATAAAAAAAGAATTATTATTTCTATAATTTGTTGTTATTTATTTATAATTTATTGAAATTATTGTATGATTTTAAGAACAATAATAAAACGCGGGCTGTTTAAAGATTTATTTCACTTTTTTTTGTTTTTTGTCTTGAGAACACAATAACAACAAGTTTGAGTTGAGTTTTAATAACAAAATGTTTGTGTGTGTGTGTGTGTAAGTGTTTGCTTAGTAAACAAGTACTTTGCTGTTTGGGTTCGAAAGACCAAAAAGACGATGATGACAATAAGAGACTTCGTTATTGCTGATGATGATGACGAAGTTGAAAAATGCTGGATAAAAAGAAATAAACAAACTTACTGACGATGTTAAACGAAGTGTATGCTTTAATTATATAAAAAGTAAATTATGTTTATGTTTTGTGTTGTTGCTGTTATTGTAATTTATAAAAACAATTATTGTTTTTGTTGTTTTTCTGTTGCTTTGTAATAAGAGCAAGAGAGGAGTCTTTAATCAAGTTAGGCTTTAGGTTTTTTTGTTTAATTGTTGTTTTTTAATACTTTTTCACTTTTTTTTTTTAACATTGAAACACTTGAATCATGTGTTTGTTTTTGTTGTTGCCAGAGTATAGGTTACTTAGGCGTTTATTTATTGTTGTTTTTTTTAAGTAATTCTTTAGAATTTTATGTTATTTTAGTAAAATTCCTTTAAAATTGTTATTTATTTAAGTTTATTTAATTTTGTAGAATTCTTTCAAGAAATTGTAGTTTTAAAATCTGCAAAGAAATAAAAGAAAAAAATTGTTTAAGTTATAGATAAATACATTTTAATTCAAAAATATTAATAATTTTTAATCCTTTAATTCCATTAAAAATCTTTACATAAAATCCATGTAAATTTAATAATTCCCACACATTTCCCTTACAAACTTTAATTTCAACGAACTTTTTTTTCGCCCCAAATCTACAAAAAACTCTGCAAAAACAACACTATGTAACTTTAAAACTTTCTTGTTAAATCGATGACTATTTATGCCAAACTAGTTGGATTCTAAATGAAAAAAAGGTAAAAAACGCTACAAAAAAACTATAACAAAAAGTCAATGTTTGGAAACTAAAATTATATTGGTTTTGCAAAATCAATTCGCCGCATAGCTTAAAGTAAAATAAACATGATATTACATTTTTTGTAAAAAAAAACATGTGATAAATCCTGTTTTTTAAGGCAAAAGAAACTCAAATTACTCAAGTACTTTCAACTCTCGCTCTCTCTAAAAACAATTAAAACAGTGAGGTCAACTTGTAGTAATACTGTTGCTAGTAATGCCAACATGAAAAAACATAATTTGGATTCTAATTAATTTATTTTATTAACTAGACCTTTTAAAATTTTTCTTTTAAAACTTCCCGAAGAAACTAGGGAAAAATGCCAAAAAAATCTCTTAAACCTTTTTAATATGCATTAAAAAATCGCCAAGATGTTATTACTAAATCCTGCACTCAATGCAGGCATGGAAAATTGATATTCTGAAAAAGTACTATTTATTATCTAAATGACTATAGACCATCGAATAGATTATAGACCAGACTATAGAGTAAGCTATATGCTTGACTATAGACTAGACTATAAAAAAGACAATATACTAAGTTCTAGCCTAAACTATAGACTAGATAATAGTTTTCAGACTAGACTATAGAATAGACTACAGACTAGACTAAAGACTATACTATAGAGTCGACTAAATACTATACTATAAATAAAAGTAGATAATAGTCTAAACTATAGAATAAACTATAGACTAGACCGTAGACTAGTCTATAACAAAGACTATAAACTGAACTGTAGACTAGACAATTTACTACTAGGACTACAGACTAAACTATATACTATATCCTAGACTATAGACTAGACTATAGACTGGACTATAGACTAGACTATAGACTAGACTATAGACTAGACTATAGACTAGACTATAGACTAGACTATAGACTAGACTATAGACTAGACTATAGACTAGACTATAGACTGGACTATATACTACACTATAGACTAGACTATAGACTGCACTATAGACTATACCATAGAATAGGATATGGACTAGAATACAAACTAGATTGTAGACAAGACTAAATACTAGACTATACAAAAGACTACATACTAATTATAGACTAGACTATACACTAGACTACAGACTACACTATACAATATACCAAACTATAGACTAGATTATAGACTAGTCCACAGACTAGACTGCAGACTAGACTAGGCTATATACTATACACTAAACTAGCTAATAGTCTAGACTATAGACTAACTTATGGGCTAGGCGATAGACTAGACCATAGGCCATATGCCAGACTAAAGACTATCCTAGAACAGACTATACTGTTGACCAGACCATACTGTTGATCAGACTATAGACTACAGACTAGACCATTGACTAGACTATAGACTAGATTATAGACAGGATTATAGACTGAACTACAGACTAGACTATACACTAGACTATATACTAGACTGTAGAATAGACTACAGACTAGACTATAGACTATACTATAGACTAGACTATAGACTAGGCTATAGACTATACTTTATAATAGACTATAAACTAGATCAAATACTAGACCATGGAATGCACTATAGATTTGACTATAAACTAGACTATGAGCTAGGTTTAAACTAGACTATCGATTAGACATTGGACTAGACTATCGTCTAGACTATTGGCTGGACTATCGACTAGACTATAGACAACCTAGATAATAGTCTAGACTACAGACTAGATCAAATACTAGGCCATCGACTACACTATAGATTAAGCTATAGGCTAGACTATAAACTAGACTATGAGCTAGATTATAGACTAGACTATCGACTAGACTATTAAATAGACTATCGACTAGACTGTCGACTAGGTTATCGACTAGACTATCGTCTATGAGCTAAATTATAGACTAGACTATCGACTAGACTATTAACTAGACTATAAGCTAGACTATGATCTAGATTATAGACTATTAACTAGACTATCAACTATACTATTAACTAGACTATCGACTATACTATTAACTAACTAGACTATCGACTATACTGTCGACTAGGTTATCGACTAGACTTTTAGCTAGATTATAGACTAGACTATCACTAGACTTTTAACTAGACTATCGACTAGACTGTCGACTAGATTATCGACTAGACTATTGTCTAGACTATCGACTATGCTATCGATTAGACTATAGACTAGACTATTAACTAGGCTATGAACTAGACTATTGACTATACAATAAACTAGACTTTAGACTATAAACTTTACTAAGGACGTAGTAAGTACCAAAAATTTCGTGAGGACATCGCTATAGTTCCATAGTCCTGAATGTTCCATGCCTGACTCAAACAAAAATCCCTTACAAAAACCGGAAAAGAGAGAGAGCTTATCAAAAAAGAACTCTCTTTTCTCTTCATTACCAACACCCGCTAGTTTTGTTTGCCAAAAAAATGACTCAATAACATGCCAAAACACAAAAACAAGTTTTAAACAAAACACTTTTTAAATGCAATTACTACAAGTTAGTAACCTCCTGCTAGCAAAGAAAAACAAGAGCATAGTAATGACTCCCCTTCGAAAAAAAAAAAAACAACCACTCGGTACCAACGCAAGAGTAGTTTTTTTGCACACACGTGTGAGAGCAAGCTCCTTGAACAGAAAACAAACACAGACACTCTCTCACTTACACACACACACAGTACGCAACAAACAATTCCAATAAGAATTCATGTTCATTTATTGTTGTTGATTTAAGAAAAAACAAACAAATGAAATTAAATGAGTGAGTGAATGAAGCAAAGCTAAGCATACACATTGTCATAAGAACAGGAAAGTAAAATGTAAAGAAAATTTAAAACAAAAAATAACAATTCTTATAAGGAGCTAAAGAAGAAGAGGAGTAAGAATGAATGGCTGTCAAAAACGTGCACGCGTAAAATATTTGATAAAATAAATCACTGGCATTCATAGTGAGTGCGGCGGGTATACATAAGTGAATGTTTGTGTATGTTTTGCTTTTTTTCCTTTCCGTTTTATTGTTGAAGTTGTGTCTTCGTATTTTATTTATTTTTTTCGCTTTTTAGACTTGATTTTTATTTGTTTTTTGTAGTTCCTTTTTTTCTTTATCTTTATGTTTTTAAATAAACTTTTTTTCCTTCTTCTTTAAGGTAAGGATGTATGTATGTGGGTTGTGTGTGTTTATGTGAGTAGAGCAAGTTGTGTTAAAACCTGATTCCTTTTATGTGTTTTTTTTGTTTTCTTTAATTTTTTCTTATTCCTTTTTGAATTTTTGAGTGTTTTTCTTTCCTTTTACTTTTTTAGAGTTGTATTTTTTCATCAGCTTCTTATTCGTTATTGAAAATAAACTGAAATTACGTGTTAAGCTGTGATTTATTTACAAAATTTCTTGCAAAATTATTTTTAAACTTTTTCAAAAGGAATTTTTAGAAAAATTTAGATTTTAATAACAGAAAATAAATTAGGTTGAAAGGGAAAATGCATCTGAGCCACTATCGGGTCCTCACTTTTAAAGTACAATTATCGTTCGATAAATCAGAAACTCAGTCTCCTAGACGTTATTCCTTAAAATTTCCGAAACACTTGCAAAATGTTTTGATCTGATTTCGTCAAAGTTTTGGCTTTGCCAGAGAAAGTGCTCCAATGCTTCAGTATCCTCTCACCACATGATCTGCATTCGTCATATTCATCTGATCCAATTTGTTGAACTTTTGCTCGTGGTCTTGTATGAATAGACATGAGACGTATCATCGAACTGACATCGTACTTGCTCCCACTCTGGAGACTTCCCGTTCTCCTTTCGTTTGTGGTCCTACCCACCGTTACATTATTCTGCTCCTAATTGCATCGACTGATTTTGCATTTGCTAGGTTAACTTCGTCAAGTTCTCTAACCGAATGGACTGATGCCCATATGATACTGAGCTTACCACCGGAAGTAAAGTTCTGTGCTTGTTCCGGGACTTTAAGAGCATCCCACAAAAAATATGTAGATAGAACTTATCTAAGTTATCTGACTATCAATAGAAGACTGGACTACAGACATTGTTAAGCGAAACGAAGTGATCGTAGTCTACACTGATGGTTAAGAAAAAACTATTATGGGCACTAACTCGAGAACTTTCTACAATGATCATGGTATCTTCGTATCCATCAGATTACATAATGCCTGAACTACGAGCAACATCTCGAGACGTCGAGACTCAAGTCTCTCATTTCGAAGGGTCGAAATGTTTTCCTATCTGCCTTCACTTATTGTTCCAACTTGGACGATACTGAGTCAAATTGTGGCCAAAGTAAAAGTGCATTTGACTGATCGTCCTATTCCCCTGGCCGAATGAAATCAAGAAATGGTCGAAAGAATGAACCACTTGCAGACTATCCAAAATGTTCTGTCTGTTACGGAAAATGATTCTCTTGGCCCTTGAAATTCGTTAATCCTTCTTATAGGCATACTTAAGGGGCACTATTCTTATTAAATAAATTTCGGTTCGTAAGGGCTTTCGGAAACGAATAAACTGCTCTCTACAATCCCATAAACGATCGAAAAAGTTAATTAAATTTTTTCGTTTTCTTTGGACCTTATGTTAGGAAATTGTTTTGTCGTATCAATAACTTTTGGACAATTGTTAAGCAATCATTTACGCCCAACTTAGGCTATATGTTCAGAGGGTCGTTGTAATGCTAAAATTTTATATTTTATTAAATTCCCATTCATCTCTTCAGATTGCTTAATCTATTCGTTAGAATGCTATCCTTGTTCATATATCAATCATCTGGAACTTGGCTCCATTTCCCTTTTGATGATATACAGCATCAAACTATTGCTCTCCTCAGTGTTTTACTTTGGGAGTAGTTTCTTCCTTTTCAGTTCTTCATTCGGTTTTCGTTATACCTTTGGCCTTCCGACATTTCATATATACTTGTTTTTAGGGACAACTTGAGCATTATACTCCCTTTTTTTAATGATTCGACAAATAATTACTTCTGATGTTTTTTTCACTTTTAGACAACCATTCACGGGCATCAAAGACTATCGCCAATGAACATTTCACGTGAAATATGATCCCTTTTCACTTTTTTCGCTCACAAACTTTCTTATCCTGGAAAAATTACCCTGTTGTAAAATTTGTTGAAGGAATTTTGTAAATTTTCAACAACTGTTACATACAAAATCAACTATTGTGAATGAATTGTTCACGGCAAGTTCACGATAGCAATTTTCCCTTCCAAATTTCACTTCTATTGGCGATAGGGGTATTTATGTTTAAGGTATCACCTTTTACAATTAATTGCGTGAAATTATAACTCGAAATTACAAAACCTTGTGAATGTTTCCATCAATTAATGAAGTACATCTCCAAATTATCATGTTTTACTGTGAGTGTAATGTTTTTACCTTCAGGTCTCTCCCATCATACCTTTCGATATCCGTCGCTTTTATATATGATAAATATCGTTTCATCAAGTAATATAACGTCGTCTTAAAAACTTAAAAATCTTTTTAGAACACTTTTCTAAGCAATTTTTGGTGGGTACTTCGCACTCTTTAAATTCACGAGAAGGGTTTATACGACAACATGACTATTGTATCCCTTTTGACGATTCGGCGAATTGTTGGTTGTGTTACTGCATTTTCCAATACATTCTTAACTTCAGTTAAAATTTAAGGAGCATTAATGCATGGTTTCACCTTTTTTTATTTGCAGAAAACTCCTATTTCTGAATCGATTTGATATTCAAGATCACAATGTAGATTCACTCCCGAGTGATTCCGGTTAGTTCTTATAAGAATTCTTATAGGAATAACTAAGGAACACTGTATGATCCCATGTGCATGTTAGATCGTATGGTCTTCCCTTATAAAAGCAATTGCAGAGATTGATTAGACGAGATGGAAGACTGTGTGATTGCCGATCTCTACAAGAGCGTAGCCGGGGGTATCTTGGTGGAAGTTTCTTTGATGTGCAAGATCACAAATCCATTAGCTTGAAGATTAGTTAAACATAAATATTATATATCATTCCTCGAATGATTCCCGTTAGTTCTCAGAAGTTTCTTTCTGAACACTCCATTAGACAGAGAAGCTTTTAGTTTTTATTTTAATAACTCGTAATTTTTCACTTATTTTCGTTTACCACATATTTCAATTCAGAATTTTTAAACACTTTAATAATTTTTAAATAATCTTATGATTAAAATGCGTTTTAAACTATTTTTCTTTTAAACTTTTTGTAATTTTGTTGATTGTTTTTTTACTTTATTAAAACTTTTTTACATTTTTAAATTAACACTTAAAATTTATAAAGATTTTGTTTTATCGGAAGATTTTTTTGTTTGTTTTTTTTTTTTAACAAATTTTCCAAACTGTTTAGCTTTAAGTTTTTATAAAATTTTATATTGAAGTCAGATTTGATTGATTTAAAAAGTATTTGAAAGATAAAAGTGTTCTTTTTAATAATTTCTATTTAAATAATACGAATAGTATTTAGGTTCAATATTATTTCAATCAAAACTTTGCAATTTTTTTTTCAAGGAGTGTATATTTCAACGTTTATAACTCTTAATTTTGGAAACCGATTTCATTGATTTAAAAAGTTTTTGAAAGTTAATTTAATCCTCTTTTAAAGCACTTTTAAACTTTCATAAATAGTTTAATTATATATTTTTAAAGGTTTTTGTTTTTTTAATTGCAAAGTTTACAGTTTTGGGCTTTTCTATTTTTCTTTAAATTAGAATCGGATCAGAGAGTTTGTATTATTATTTGAGTTTTTTAGGATTTTTTTCAGAAAGTATATTTTAAGGACAAATTTCTTATTAAAATTTGTTATTTTAAACTTATTTAGTTTAATCAATTAGTTTTCCATGATATATGACTTTGAGCTTTCATATGGCTTTAACTTGATGTAGGATTTTATTGTTTTAAATAAAATTTTATTTGGAAATGTCAGTTTTAAGAATTCTTATTTATATAGAGATTCTTAAATATTTAAAATATTTTTTTATTTAAAAAAAAAAAATTCAAAATGTTTATTTTTAAAAATTCGTATTTCTTTAAGTTGTTGAGGGATTTTGTTGTTTTAAAAAGTTTTTGAAAGTTAATTGTGTTTTCTTTAAATATGTGCAATTTGAATTTAAAAATCTTACACTTTTAGTTAATTTATCACAATTTTCTCTTAAATCCAAAAATTTCGAAAACTGTATAACTTTAAGCTTTTATTACTCTTTGATTTGAAGAAGGATTTGAATGATTTATTCTGTTTTTTTACAATTTCTTATGGAAATTTATGAAAAATTTCAAAAATGTTTAACATTTAATCAAAATTCAAATTTCAATTCCCCTTTTGAAACTAAATTTCTTTGAATTTTAAATCAGGGTACATATTAAGTTTTTTGAAAAAATTTTGTATGTGTGTTAGTGTGTGTGTGTAAATCTACTTACACACTTTAAAAACAAACAGAAAAATTTATGAAGCATAAATATTTAAACAAAAAACAAGAACAAACAACGTAAAAACTAATGTAAAATAAAAGCATAAAATTATAAAAAGAAAACTTAAACACCGACACAACGAAATGAAAACAGAGTCAGAATCAGACACAGAATCAGAGACAAAACAGAGCAGACCAAATCCAGCAGAATATACAAATAAGAACCGACATATTTTTATGCAAAAAAAAAAAGCAAACAAAAACATAAATGACAAACAGAGAGACGGACGGATGGATGGACAGACAGACAGACGGACGGACGAAACGAATGGAAGGACAGACACACTACAACAATGTATAAAGCTTAAAAACGGAATTAAAACATACACAACGTTGACAGAAATGTATAAATTTAAGCAGAAGAGTAAGAGTAGTAGTAGGTATAAAAACTTGAGTTTAAAAAATGACATGGAATGTTTTGTTTTTGCACTCAAACCACGTTATAAAAATTCGCAACAACAACATACAGCTTCCGTTTCAATGTTAAACAAAAACTGAATTTTGAAAAAAAACACAAACTGATACACATTCACTGTATAAATTTAAATGTAAATTTTTTGATTTTTTTTTTTTCATAAAATTTCATCGAAATAATCATAAAAAATTACTTTAAAATTTAATAATCATAAAAATAAAATTAATTAAAACTTTGTATTAAAAAAAACAACACCTTTTATAGATTGCTTTTGTTGATGGTAATGAGCTTTAGCTTTATGTTTTTTTTTAAAGATTTTTAACAAAATTTTGTTTTTAAACTGTTTTAATTTTGAAACACTTAATAATTGCACAATCTTGCACAAACCAACACTGCAGCACGCTTTTAATAAAGACACAAATGACTTTTTACGTTTGACGTTTTAAAAACGGCAATAATGGTTGTTTTTTAATACGTAAATTTATTTCTTATTCTTTAATTTTCCCAAAATTTTATTTTATTTCTTTAATTTCGTTTGATTTTATTTTTATTTTTTTGTTAAAGAACAACACTGTAAAATATTTACTTTATTTTTGTGTATAGTGTAACCCGCTTAAAGTGTGTAAACGTAATAACGGTCGGTACCGAACTAAACGAAAAACACACAAAACTAAAAAGTACACTGCATGCAAAAAAGCAAACAACACTCACATTCACTCAGAAAGTGCAAAAGCAAACGCAAAAAAAAATTAACTAATCAAAGAAATCATTATTGTTACGTTTTCCACGCACAACGGCTCCAAAAACAAGAACAAAATATTTTACAAATACTCTCTTGCTCTCTCTCTCTAGCTCCCCCTTCAAAAGCATAGAGAGTGAGAGTGTAAATAAATGTAAATTGGAGCATAATTTTATTTTATCTTTCTCATTCTCTTTAAATTAATAATTTAACTCCACTTAACTTGCTCTCTTTTATCTCTGTTATTTTGTATCCACAAAAAAAAACAAAACTAGAAGATGAAGTAGAAAAAAAAACAAAACAATAAACACAAAACAAACCTATAACAAAAACATGTACAACATAGCGGTTGTGGTGATGCCACATGTTAAAATTATAACAATGGCCCAAAATGAAACATAACAGGGGTGGTTTGAAAAAAGTTTGTTTTTCTTGGTGGCAAATATATGAAATTATGTTTTCGGCACCGATTAGGGTGTTTGCATAAGTTTCGAAAGGCGGTCTATATATGGACTTAGATCTGTGTGAATCGACCCTTTTCGCTTTAATTAACACGAATAAAAAATGGTGTATAGACTTGACACTGTGGCGCTTCTAGCTCTTTTAATTTACTAGGCTTTAGGCAGGTCTAATGGCTTTTCTATAGTCTAGGGGATCTTTGGACTAGTTTGCGAGCAATTCTGTGCACTAGTCTGGTCTTTATAGTATACAGGCTAGACTATTGTCAACTCTATAGAATATTATATTGCCCAGTTTATAGACTACTCTATGAATCAGTCTTTGGACTAGTATTCGGACTATAGACTAGTTATCAAATTATCCAGTTTTAGCTATATAGATATTATTGGAAGATGCTGGCTCTGCTTTAGATAAAACATAGGGATCAATTTATAGTCCCATAAACCACTATAGTAAGAAGAGAATAATGCTTTTGTGTTTATTTTTTTTTTTTATATAACCAGTCATGTCATACGGCCCCCTTGGGATATGATACCTGATGAACTTAACACAACTTGGTATGATTGCAATCCGGGGGAAAAAAGGTGCCGACAGTAGGTCTATTCTACCGCCGAATGCCGGGACTATAAACTGCAGGTGTCAAATGTATCCTCAGTCTTTTCTTTTAGTGATTTGACAAAGGGAACCCGTAGCTCGAAGGCCAGAGTTTCGGAGTTTGTCTTCTCCTGGTTAGTGAAAAGGTTTCTTCGGGATGCAAGTGGTTGCTGCGGTTTTAACCCAAAATGACAGGAAAATAATGTAGGATTAAAGACTGATACACGGTGAATCTATATTCCGAGATAAGTTCGGTGCTGTTGCTAAAAAGAAACAGATACCCCTCAGAGAAGTGACTATGAGGCTAATCATTGGGAATGGTTTGGTATCAAATGAATAAGTAAGATACGGAATGTATGAAGGGGTATGCGGGCATGTATGAATGTATTCGCAATGAAGGTGTCGGATAAATGAGTGTGCTGGTAGGTTAAATGGTTATGGATGTACGGTAGCTTATAAAAGTGACACCATTGAATTATCCTTCCTGGTGAGGGTACAATCAGAGTTGAAAGGACGATGTACATCAAATCCGAAGAAGTACACCTAGGCCTCTATCGGCTCTGTTGTGCGCTCCTTAACCAGGGTCCAACTGCGAATCGAACTCACCACCTCCGGTCTACCAGACTATAATACTAACCACTAACAACTAACGGAGGCCACATGATCAGGGTTTACTCTTTTCAGACCAAATTTACCACAGTGTGTTCTCTCTTAGTAAGATCTTTGGCTTATCTGTCTACCAAATACGTCTTTAATTGCGGTTACCGAATCAACATAGATTATTCTATCTGCGTAGCTGTAAATGGAAGTGATGATTTGCATCGCGTTAAGCAACGGGGTAGCAATGGTCATTCTTTAATATTTGGTCGCATATTCTGGGCGATTTTCGTCTAATGCATTCGATACCAGAGTCCTTTTCAGGTGTAGCCAAATTTCAACAGCCAATAATAGATAGGATACCATTGGTCTTAACGAATACAATGTATTATCTTAACGTCTTGAATATTTGGCTTTGATATCAGTTCTGCTGATTGGCCGAGCATAACATACGATTTCTTACTCTTCAAATTATTGTAATGGATCCATTTTTCATAGCAAGTAATAAATTGTTGCAAAAATTATTTTCCTCATCCATCTTTTGTGCAAGCAAATTCATACTTCAAGGTGTCTCGACTTCAATTCGTATGTTCGCTACTCCCCATGATCTTATAGGGCTTAATAACAATTTTCAATTCTTCATCATTCGTATCAAAATCATCACTTTGGAAGTACACAAAAAAGGTTTCTCGCTTATTATAAAAGATATGGAACACATTCGCCATAAGACTCGGTGAGTTATCGGTGTTCTTTAGCCACACTTAGCAGCTTCCACTTTGCCATTGTCAGGCTTTATCTGAAATTAGATCCAAATATCTTAGGAGTGATATTATTCCGTATATAACCTCCCTCACGAACACTTATTGGAAATTTATTAGGAATTATGTCCAGGAAAGTGAATTTCTGAACATCGGACCATAATAATGAATACTATAGGTACATATAAGATTTTTGTTTTTGCCAACAAACATTTTCCATGAAAAGGAGCGTCCAACAGGCACCTAACCTTAACGAAGTAACTCCCAGCTCTAGTTAAGTTTAACAACAATCTTCTTAGTGTAATGCCTACAATTCATGGTCTTCAAACTTGTTTTTTTTTTGCTGGCCTGAGAGATTATTGTCTTCCGCATCAAAATCACCACTTCTGAAGCAAACAAAACACATCTCGCATGATGAAACCAATGAAACGCATTCACCATAAGAGCAATTAGAGTTTTTAAGGGGCACTTTTTCTCAAATTTAAAAAGTAAATCAAAACATCCCGCATATGACGCTTTCTTGACACATTTTCAAAACAATAACTGAGAATAAATGACATATATATAACCTTTAAAATGACTTATGTACGAGTCACTAAAGATAAAAAACGCAATCAAAATTTACGACATCAGTTGTAAATCAGCCTTTAAGTCATTACACAAAAACCTTTAAATTCCCATTTTTTATTTACTTAACCCCACCTACTGGCAACACTCAAACAACAAATCAGTGCATACTACACTGTTTTCAGTTGATAAAATTATTGTTTTTCTTTTTTTCTTCTTCTTATTGTTGTTTTTCTACTACACATATTCCTTTAATTTCGCCGCTTAAGCATGTTTTTTTTTTTGTTTATTTGCTTTGAATTCATTATTATTGTTGTTGTTGTCGCTTTTTTATCACTTATATTTTCTTGTAGAATATTCTTTTTGTTTTCTTTCAATGTTTTCTTACATTTTCTTTTTAACATTGATTCTTATTGGAATTTGTTTTTTTCATTACTATACACAAAATAACGATTTACATAGAAAAACAAACAAACAAACACTTAAACTTAGTTGTGATACAAATCTTTTGATTATTGTGGTTTAATTATTAAAAATGTTTAATAAAACTAGTTTGTTGCTATTATTGAGACGCCTCCATTAAGAGAAACACTTACATTTTTTATTATTTTAAGATTTTTCACGCTGAATTTGTTGCTGGAAAAAAACTTGTTTTATCAGCAAAACTAATTGAAATTATATGGTGTTTTTTGTTTTTTTAAGGAAATTAACTGAAACTTTAAACAAGTAATGGCAGTGTTTTGGTATTCTTTATTATTTATAATTTTATTAAATTCTTTTATTTGTATTAAAACACTTTAAAATTGCTTTTCACTCCCGTTGTGTTTTAGCGAAGTTCTAGTAAAAAACTAAATGGATGCCAGTAACAGCAAAAGTTACTTTTGCTTTTGCTCTGTTTTGTTTTTCGCTGCTGCTACTGTTTTTACTAGTTTGTGTTTGTTGTTGTTTATGTATTTGCAATTGCAAATTTTGCTGCAAAATCAGCTCGCAAGAAAACAAAAACAATGAGAGAGTGTGGGTTGTTTTTGCTTTTAGCCAGCATTGTGGGTGCTAGAGGGAGATAGTAAATGTTGTGATTTCAGTTGGTTTTTATTGCTCAGTTCTACGGCGAATACTCTCAAAAGACGCTAAATGTCGTTGTTGTTTTATTAAAAATATTCAGTAAGAAAGTAATAGCATGATTTTGTTAATAGAATTGTCTTATTTTTACACGAGTTGAATATGAAAAAGTATTTCCGCTTTTTTTAGTTAAAATTTATATTTTATATAAAACAGAGTTGTTTAAAACTATAATAAATTTAAAAAATATAAATTAAGGAAAAAGTTTTCCATGATTTTGATAATTTCTGACAAATACTTAACGAATATATAAAAATTTTCTGAGTAAGTTAGTTAGTTACTTAGATAGTTACTTAGTTATGTAGTTAGTAGTTAGTTAGTTAGTTAGTTAGTTAGTTAGTTAGTTAGTTAGTTAGTTAGTTAGTTAGTAGTTAGTTAGTTAGTAGTTAGTTAGTTAGTTAGTTAGTTAGTTAGTTAGTTAGTTAGTAGTTAGTAGTAGTTAGTTAGTTAGTTAGTTAGTTAGTTAGTTAGTTAGTTAGTTAGTTAGTTAGTTAGTTAGTTAGTTAGTTAGTAGTTAGTTAGTTAGTTAGTTAGTAGTTAGTGTTAGTTAGTTAGTTAGTTAGTTAGTTAGTAGTAGTTAGTTAGTTAGTTGTTAGTTAGTTAGTTAGTTAGTTAGTTAGTTAGTTAGTTAGTTAGTTAGTTGTTAGTTAGTTAGTTAGTTAGTTAGTTAGTTAGTTAGTTAGTTAGTTAGTTAGTTAGTTAGTTAGTAGTAGTAGTTAGTTAGTTAGTTAGTTAGTAGTTAGTTAGTTAGTAGTTAGTTAGTTAGTTAGTAGTTAGTTAGTTAGTTAGTAGTTAGTTAGTTAGTTAGTTAGTTAGTTAGT